TATTAACTTAAGCTAGCTATGGTGTGACAATTTAAACTGATCCATGTATGCCCCAAGTTCTATTCTGCAAACAACTAACTAACTATTGACTGTGATATATACTTGCATTGCATTTAATGAAATACCTATTCTTATTGCTTACAGTTAAAAGTACTAACAGTAAGAGTTGTAAACCTGATATACAACGTAAAATTGATTAATTAGATGATATATTGTTTAGAGACAATGGCAATCGTATCTGTTTATCAAATAAGTAAACTGATTAATTTAAAACAGTCCGGTACCCTATAAAAATATTTCATTATTGGATAGTCAGAAGTTATTAATTTCAGCGATCGAGCTAGTGTATTCTCACGCTACAGACATACAAATTTTATAAATGTCTTAAATCCACAAAATTTAGATAATTTATTCCCAATTTATATTAATGGACAAATAGAAATATGGCGTCCCTAGCTATTAAACAGATCTAGAAATAAGTTTTGAAAGACTTTTTCTATTTACGTGTTATATCATGTTTTTATTCTGAATGAACTTCTTCCCATATTGGTCTAAGTTGTGCTAGTATGTCCGCACTATGTAGCTAGTTTCTGTTTGATATTCTTGACCAATGACTGGAGGCATCAGGTGGCTGAATCGTAAAAGGTCACAGTGGTGCAGATGCACTGATTACTTCCCACCCCTTGGATCTTGGGTTATAATATTACTTTTTATGCTTTGTTCTCTTATTTCACTCTCTTCTCTTGATATATATTCCCTACTTCTAATCTTTTTTTACTATCACTAAAACTACTTATGCTGATCTATTGTAAAAACTTGGACTGATGCACATTCGTGCTAACTCCTATATTAATTATTACACCACATTGTATTGAAGTGAATTAACTAATTTAATATGGTGTTCTACATAGTTTACCTCACTTAGGAGCAATGCTAATTGTTATAACCCAGTGAGGATTAAATTACAGGTAACTCCCGAGGACTACTAATGGACTAATATTCTATAAATATTCTTATTGTAAAACTATTGAATAATTAGATTAAGTATATTTATATTCCTCTTATTACAAGCTTTATTTTGACCTATAATTTATTATTGTACGATTTACGGTTCTTAAGCTATGCTCAGTCTATTATTCACTGTCCCCTCGTTCACAGCCACTTTTTGGCTTATTTGTGTACACATGTTAATTTCTATTTTATGGTACGTTGTGGTCTGTCTGATTGATATATAAACCGGGTATGTCTGAAATAAACGATCTGGTCTGATCTACTCTGATTCGATTCATATTACGGAAGCTGGTATTGTGTTCTGGACTCAAGTGGAAGGGCTCGGAGGACATAGGACCAATAAGGACGCTAAACTGCCCACACCGGTTGAACGTCATTGGGTTGGCCTAGTGTGAAGATTCGTATAAGTCGTATTCGGATTGGTAGATAAATCGTGTGATAGAAAATTCAGACACCCAAGGTCATAACACTAATTGGAAATGGACAACCGAAAATGGATACAAGCAAGTCCCTCATATCGACTGAGTACGGATCCCAATCTCGAATCGATTTTTCAAAACTGTACGCACGACTGTCGCAGTGCTTTTCTTTATTAAATAGTATATATATATATATATATATATATATATATATATATATATATGTATATATATATATATATTTATTTATTTATTTATTTATTTATTTAGCTTATTGGAACTTGATAGCACGTTTCATACTGTTTGTCAATAAAGACTCGATGCTATCAGATCATCACTGTTAACGGATATGATTGAAAAAAACATCCTAACACGTAGGTGATTATAGTTTAACATTTTATTTATGAATACAGAGATGACTGACACTGAAACGAAGCCCACTTCATACCAAGATTTAAAGTACTTACCTTCTAATTGGCTATTCAGGTTTTCATCTTAACTTGAATTATTATTCTTGTCTCTGGACAAAGACTACTTCAAATAATTGATTTACTTGTTTATATCAGGACGATGTATTTATTCGATACATAAAAAATCTTGATATCAAACAATTTACTCATTAAAAGTCTTAATATTTATGCAAAGCTATGTATGGCAAGTTCATACTTCATTAAGACAAAGTCTCCCTGTTGAACATTACAAATGAACCCAATAGCACATAATAATACGAACCCCTTTTAGTAAGCTGGTGTACCAAACGTTTATAGAATGGTAGTTGATTTGTAATTTTCTGGTATACAGATCCTGGAGTTATAAAAGGCTAGACACAATAACATATATCCCATATCAAATACATAGCTATTTATATTGCGTTTGAAGTGCAGGTTCGATGACAACCGATTTCAAGTCAGAGACCAGAGAAGCTAGATACAAGAAATAAGGGCAGTTATTTGGTCAAAGCTTCAATGAGGAAATAGTACAGCACTTTTAAGAGAAATCAGAATCAATGACACTACACCTGTTGACATGATACTGTTCCCTTTAGAATATAGGTTTCCCCTCACAGTGCACAGGTTTATTCATGTTAAAATACTTTATCTGTATCTAGTGTAAAGTTTATTAGGAAGTAAACTTAATTACACGTATAACCAATTATCCAAAAGTCACCAATGACATTTTATCTCACTAATTGATGAAAATAATGTAACTCGTATGTGCTGTATTTATCTTCATAACCGATAACACTCCTATAACCATAGACTTGCTTTATAGGTTTTCTGACTTATTTACACATCCTTACCAAAACGATAAATAATAACTCAGATAATTGTTTCACAACAGATAGTAGGGAAAACGAGTTAACGTCCCGTTAGGCATTGCTAATTTTCAATTCAATGGTGGTATGCTGCGAGATTACTTCCTATAACCGAATCTGATAGATTATTATTATTATTATTATTATTATTATTATTATTATTATGGATGTTGTCTTTCAAAACGTAAAGTTAATTGTAATATCAACAACTCTGCTATTATTTTCAGTCATCACATACGTAATCATCGACTCCTGGGAACAGTAAGATGGTTTAGTTAAAGTCTCGCTTAGTGGATGCGACAATTCTGAGAAAATAACAGGTTCGCTGAAGGATAAGTTAAAATGACTGAATACCTGTTACCCTGGGTCGAACAATATACCGATCCCCATTATTATTAGCGGTGCACCTATAATGGAATTTCAAACACAAAACAGTATGGGAAAGTACTATTCAGTCCAAATTAGGATATCTGGATAATTTATAAACCCGATCGTATTGTATATTTTCACAACTGAACTCTAATGACCACTTCTAGTAGCTCTAGCTATATGGGGCTTCTAAAAGCAATGAGACGTTGAAACTAAATGCAGCATGAACCTGAGAAAAACAAGTTCCGAAGTATATTCAATGTCACAACTACTTGAGTGAAGATTGACTATTTTGTATTCCGAAAAATATAGATGTGGGTGGGACATGATTATGTTTTATGTTCAAACCAAAAACTTACGATTTTCCGTCTCCCAAATTATTTGAATGTAAAAATAATCTATCCCCATAGCCTCTGAGGAGCATGAACGGTCAGTAATAAAAAAAGCTGTTTTACATAAGTATAACCAGTATAAGACGTTATTCTCTAAAGACTATAGTTCCACACTTACACAACCTGTGAACTATGATGTTAGAATTTTAGCAAAACGTGTATCATACATTTGATTCGGTTCCTACCCACATTTGGATTCCTAGCGATTCCTATGTCGTATGAATCTTTTTTTGAGATTATGTTTACTATTCAGTAAAGGAAACTAATATTACTAGTAATATGATTCTGTTATATAGGCTGACCAATATTTGATAGACTGGGTTAGCTTTAAGCTCAGGTTAACAACTAGGTACGTAATATAGGAAAAAGCATCCAAAATCAACCCTTTTGGGGAAACATGACAAAATAACCAGACTGCACTATACAGTTTGTCATTCGAAATTACCGTTCATTACAATTCCCTGCTGTCAGAACTTAAATGATAATCAACTGTGGATTACCAGAAGGTAAGTCCGGTATCAACGACGGTGCATGTTAGCTATATTGTTTTGTTAATATTAAAAATGATTAGTTCGTTGCCTTTATTGATTTGTTTTCAGAAATTATAGGAGAACCCTTATGAATTAACATGTTCATTTACGGTAACCAAATAAGTGAAGAACGAAGTACATCAAGAAAACATCTACCATAACTACAGGTAAGAAACAACATAACCTCGTCAGAACTAGTACCTTTTTGTTAAAGTCCCAAAACCCAACATCCAAATAGTTTGGCACTTCCCTCACGACGGCGTCGTATTTTACTAATATGTGGATGACATCACTCTTCATTAATAATATTAAAACAGACAACCATACTAAGAATACAACAATCGAAACATTTTAAGATATACTTCAATTACTAAGAACAACGTAAGCTAATAATGCGACCCCAACCGGTTTTGATGTTAAAGAATGTAAGTTGCTCCAAATATATAATTAAAGACTCGGCTTATAAACTAGATTGATACAAAATCATGACGTTCCTATACATAAGAAAGTCGTTCCAAACCACTAGCATGCGCGAATAGGGTAAGTTCGAGACATAACAAACTCAAGAGATAGGACAATCTTGCTAAAGTCCACGACGAAGTAACCTGTAGCTATGATCGAAAAATATGGGGAAGAACCAAGCACAACGATTGAGAATCAAATGGTTATGATCAGCGTTTATCAATTTAGATAGTGAAGCGCTCCAAATTAAATATAACCATTAATTTCAATAGACATGAGCTAGCCGATAATATGTAACAAAGTTCTGGGTTGCTCTTCGCACAAATAAACATTACTAATAATCATCACAAGTTCAGTCGCTCTAGAGGACATATCACTTTAGAATGTTGATATTTAAAAACATAACTACAAAAGTTTATCATTCGAGGTATGCCTAAATAATATTAACCCACGCTAGGATGTCTTAACTACATTGATCTTTCGAGATAAAAAGCAAGCTACATATCCGTTAAAACTTTATTACAAATTACAAATCTCCTGCGACTTTAACATCACAGTTAACACCAGGCTCTAGATATATGTGTTTAAGCTGTTGGGTAGCTTCATCCGTCGACAATAGGTCAATTACACGCTTGTGAATCCTGAACTGAAACCTGTCCCAAGTCTTTGAGCCCTCACCACATGGTGTTTTTCGCGTAGTGATTCGTAACACCTAGAAAACAGTTTAAAGGAAATATCCACTTACTTTTGTTGGCATACGTACAGGGCCCTTAACCCTCAGATTTTGATCTTTCGCCTTCTTGATAAGACCATCAGTGACTTTCTCAAGTGGTTTGACACTGGCGGCTGTCAATGTAACTCGAACCCAGTTCCTTGTCGACAACTGTGGGACATCTGCCTTCTTCTCTGACATTGCAGCACAAAAACACGATCCCAAGTAATTAGCCCGCCTTCAATAGAGTGGAGAACTAAAACACAGTAAAATATCGTATCCTAGTTTGCAGGATACAATCACTACAAGTAGTTATAGGAGGGAACAAAAAATGTGGCTTATTATTATGTTCTGCAGTAATAAAAGTGAATACAATTCGTTGGCGGAATTTTCAGAACCACTGTTGTTTATCGGCTTGGAAGGGATAGGATGTTTGTTGGCCTGTGTCAGTCCTGGAACTGATGGTCTCTCAGTCGCTCCAACTTTCTTTTGAAAGAGTCAACAGATGGAACCTTAATAGTGTATTGAGGCAATGAATTCCACCCGCTGATATTTCAGTGGGAAAGTCGATATTCAGCTGACAAGTAATTTGTCCTGGGCTTGAGAACGTTTTTGTAGTGTTCTCGTAAATTCTATCTTTTGGAAGACAAGAAATATGAGAGCGTATCACATGCAACTCTATCACCAAGTAATTTGAAAACTGTAGTCAAGTCACATCTGGTTCTTCGATCTGACAAATGAAGTAGTTTTGGTTAAGCCAATCAAGCATCATACAGGAGCCTAGCTATTCCAGGAATCAGCCTAGCATCTGTTCCCTGAACACTTTCCAAACGTTCGCTGTAGTAAGGATGATTCGGAGTTTGGATCGTACCCAGTCACTTCTTTCACCTGGTGTACTAGGACACATGTGATAACCGCATCAACCAGTTCCTACTCGAGAGGATTTCCTGACAATTTTGTTCCCAGATTTTTTCAGTTTGCCGTAGGTGCATTAAAGTCTCATGAAATTAGAAATCGACCATTTTTTGACCAAGTATTGAGACGGTCTAGCAAGACCTCATGTACCTCACAGCTCGGATCACGGCAGACCAAACCAATCGGCTGCTCTTGTCCCACTCTCATGGGATACACTGTCGATAATGGTAAATGGGATAGTATTCCTAATGAATAAAGCTACTCCCCCTCCTCTACGTCTCTGTACTCTATCAGCTCTTACCAACGTAAAACCTTCAAAATCAAGTTCCATACTATCTATAGGCTCCGCCAGTCACGTTTCTGTGACTGTGATTATACCTGGCTTGGTAGAGTCAATCTATACTCCTAGCTCCGACCGCCTATTGAGCAAGCTTCTTTCATTTGTGTAACAGTTCCGAAGCCTATTAAATGGCTTTGTGCTGCACCAAAAATGGCTTCGGAACCAACCTCTATCGAAGTGTCATAACCCAAAAATTTACAATTTTTAGGTCCTTTTCGCTAGCATCTAACCTACGTTTTAGTTCTTTTTCGGCTTCTCGTCTTTTTACACGGTCTGCGAGCGACAAGTTCTTGCGGACAAAAACTCCCGAACCCTTCAGTTTGTGTTCATTCTGTATTATTAAGTCCCATTCATTAAGGGATTTAAATACTACTTTAAGCATCCTGGTTTGGTTTTGTTTCGAATTCGTTTGGCTACCTAGTCTATACATCCTTAGAAAAGTGACTCCGGAGATATCCTGATGCATAAGCTGATTTAGTAGCTGTTTTATCGACCCAATGTCATACTCGAAACGAGTTTTAGGTTCTGAGCCTTTATTCTCCTTGATTCTATGAAAGATAACTAACCTGTTAATGTAATCAATCTTTAATTTTTCAGCTACTTTTGCTGTGTTGAATTTCCTCTAATAGTGTTATGTCGTCTCTTGTTCTCGAGCTGTGCCCAATTATTATATTTCGTTAACGTAGCAGCCATAGTCTCATCAAACACACTGCGGGATTCCGAGAGGTTATCGGTAACATGGGCAGTCAGGTTGTTTTTACTGGAAGCAACAGATCTAGCCTTGCGACCGGGATTCTTAGGGTTTACTGACAACTACCATTTAAAAGACGGGGGAAAGGAAACTTCATTTCTTAAGGTTTTATTTAGGACAAACCTCTTTTAAATCAGTCTTTCCTCCCTAGATCGACGTGAGTCAATTGTTTCCGACGTCGCTTGAGGCTGCTTCAAAACGATTTGTGTCGACAGACCGAGTACTGTCCGATGTGTCCCGACCTCGTTTGCTAATACACTTTTTAGCAGCATTTACCAGTGTAATGGCTGGCAAGCTGTTCGCATTCGAGCAACACTGCTGGCAAAACCACACACAATCATTTGTACTAAACCGTTTGAAAGTCTCAGGCATTAGATTCGTGCAAACTTCGTGGTACCGGCCTTTCCACTCGTCTCATTGCATGCCGCTTTCAACGGGTATCGATTGCCCGGGCGTCGGCAATTTTTTTTCTTGCACTGTTGAGCCATGAAACAGAGGTTTTCAAGAAGAAACTAGATACAATAATACCCAGGAAAAAGAACTTTATGACTAAAAAGGTGTACTGTAAATTGCTAGAACGAAAAGTGCTAACAACTCATCTCGATTGTCTGAAGAAGACCGTCTTTATTTAGCCTTGGTTGTGAGAATTTCTCAGCTTATTAAACCGCGTTTTTCACGCTTATACTTACGTTTCTGTAAGTAAATGTTATAGCAAAGTGTTCCGTTGTACCTTGTTACAAAAACTGATATTTTAAAATACGAACTTCAGTTATGATAAGCCAGAATAACGGATTGTCTGTTCTTTGGAATCTGCATCTGGATGCTGAGAAAGCGTTCATGGTTATTAAAAGTTATCATTCCTATTTAGTTTCTTAATATCATCAACAGTGGTTTTTGGGTAGTAATCCGAAATCAATACCTGTAGAACTAAGGTAAACATTGAGCCTGCTCCTGCAAAATCAAGGTACCACTGATAGCTTTTCTGTTGGGGGTCCGACAGCCAACTGGTTTTAGTGGTGTGAATCCTAGCACGACATTTTGCTAGTCTTCCGCAATCTATACATAATGGATGATCTCTTAAATATATTACTTGATTGAGGTAGTCTGTTGATACGAAGATTATGATCTATATAAGAATTCCCGATCATACACCCTTTAATCCTTCTGTATTGTACATACTGTAAATCTAAAGCCTCTAGAGTAAGTGAATAGAGTTTCATTTTCAGTTCGAGTGTCTTCTTGATAAATCTTTAAACATGTCCCGAAAATGCGCTGCCTTTAGGGAGAAGTCATGCTCCTGTTTTTACCCAAATTTAATTTTCGGTACACATTGAAAATTGTCTGGAAATATCACGTAGTTAGGCTACTAATGTTCTAGAAAGAAACCTTTAACCTGGTTTTCTTTAATGGCTACATAATGTCATCCGAAAGAAATTCAGAGAGTATCACATATGGTGATTTCATATTTTTTGTGTAATAGAGAGTATAATCCCAAAAACACCCTAAAATTACGAGGTATCTCTATCACAGCTATTTAACATCCGCATCGTTTGGTATTAAGTAAAAGGAACTCTCCGTTTTTCCGGTCATATATCCAGAGAAAGACTTTTTGAAAAGTTAGGGCACAAGCAAAACCTAGTGTTTTCATTCAACTCTAAATGTCATACATACTTATAAGTGTTTCAGAATCTTGGGTAGAAAACAGAGTATGAAAAGGTAAACAATCTTAAAATCATTTTAAGATCGTAGCAGCCAAATGTTTGAGATTAACAGTTGGTCTTAAGCCTGTTATTAGAGTGAAAAGATAACAGCCTGAAACCAGGGTTGTTTACCTTCATATTTTATGTGGTATTCAATTTTACAACTTCCTATTTTGGACAACAAAATTTGTGTGTGTTTATGTAGGACAAGCCTGATCTCCACTCGCTCCACGTGCTGTACCACAGATGTTTTGACAAGGCTCTTTTAGGCTTTTTCTGACCTTACCATCCAAAAGGGTTATTAATAATCAATCTTAACATGACGTCGGAATGAATTCCACCTAAACCAGCAGATTTACAATAATTCGGAATCCTTTTCATTTTCAGAATTAAAAACTTCATGATGCTCAGGTAGTCATGAAAAAGAAGTAGATAGCATTCAGTGTACAGAAATACATCAAGACTGAAGTAACTTACACGGCAGGTAATTTAGTCTAAGAACATGAGACTAGGCGTATGTGTCTGAATCTCTGCTACTCTGGGGGGGCTTTTAGTGCGTATTTGTTATTAAATAACTTATATATTGTAGATAAATCACATCTAGCCATACAGCGTGCTTATGGGGACATAACCAGCCCAGAAAATCTCTCGTTACATAGTAAATGTGAGATCCAATGGACCAAACCATTTTCAGCTTTTTGAATCTACTAAAGGCCATTCGTAAATATGTACCAAGGGCTGGTATGCAGTGTAAGAATTTTGTTCAAACGAATATTGTAAGCAATCTCACACATTTACTGAAATCTTGTCTGCTGAACTCCCTATGCATTTCAGTGTGTGGTTTTAAGTCTTTTCTGACAAGGAATCCTTCATAAAAATGAAGGTTCAACACATATTCACTTACTGATAGTTCGTATGAACCATAATGCAACTGAACGCATTTACAGCAAACCACCAAAGACCAGAAGATTCCAATGATTATTTAAGATCTTGTTTGGGCCTCATGGTATCGTTTTTGTTACAGTATAATACAATTCAACAACATGTGAGTTAAGTTGATGATTATATGCGATGATTAGCGACATGTATATTTCGACGGCAATCATTCAATAACGACCATTCGTCTACTCTAACTAAAGTCAGACATACGGCCATTAAAGTAGTATTTGAGTCGTAGTTCAGATGGTGTGAAGATGTTTTCAAGTGATTTTTATCATGGTGATGGCTCCTTAAAGGTCAGACAAAGAAAACTCAGAGAAGCTGAACATAAAAATTGTTCAAATTTTAATCAATCCATGGAAACCTCGAGATGCTTGATTCTACTGTGCAAACTATAACTAAGTTTTGCCGTTTAGACTTTCCTATTTAACAATTCTCACAAGGCTGGAAGAAAAATTGATTTCGTTTCATATTATGTTGATAATAATAAAATTGCAGATATTTCAAGTTACATTCTTCCTCGGATAAATAGGTTAACTGTCTTAAATTTAGGTGTTGACTACGATCACCGTCAGATCCCGATGTATGCACCAGGATCTTAAGCGTAACAT